GTCTTCAGAGTCTTGAACTGCTGTATTAAAGAATGAAAGTAACAGTCTGTTTTATCTTAGTGTATAGTACCAAAGTTGTATGGAAGCCATACGGAAACTGATTTAAATTTTTATAGTTGTTCCAAATTAGAATAGGATTCACTGAGGTAACAAAAGGATGTGTATTTGTGCGTGTGTATTAATAGGCCCAACGGAATCTGAAAGACTACTTGCATGGATTTTGTGTAGATTAATGCATTGATTAGAATGTTGGATAGGATGATTACTGTAGTATTTTCTTGGTCTAAGCTTTTTTGAAATCCTTAAGATTGAAATATCTAAAAAAGATAGACACAGAGTCAAGGTAAATTTTTTACCTAAAAGCAGAATTGGAAAAAATAGATGTGTTGTCCAGTCTCCATGTAGGATAGGATTTAAGCTATTCACAGTGCTTCATAACTGTTTTGAGTTTTAAAATGTACAGAGTTGCTGCTATAGCTTATTTTAAATCTAAATTAATTAAAATTTATAAAAGAGTTCTTTCACTTGAAAACTCAAAATAAATAAAGTGCTACATGTTGAAAAACCTCATTTACCTATTTTCTGCCTGTCCAGTTCCCACAGCCATCCTTCTTCCCTCATTTCTGTCTATATATGGAAGCAAATTCACATACATGTTCTTATTTGCCCATTTTCTATATGAGTGGTGACTTATTTTAACTGCTGTTCTATAACTTGCTTTCTGCTCTAAGATATTTTTAAAATCTTTAAAATCTGTACATAGAGAACGTTGACATTCTTTTAATGCAATGAATAGTATACCACTGTTTAGATGCAGCATAACTTAGTCTCCTATCTATGAACATTTAGATTGTTTTTCTTATTTTTGCTGTAAGAATTATGTGGTAAATAACCTCATACACATGTCATTCTGCACATGTGCATGTATATCTGTAGTATTCATCCAATCCCAAAGTGGACTTGCTGATTCCAAGAATATCTACATTTAAAATGGTTTCTTATACAGTTCTCATATATTTTTAAAATGACCTGGAGGAAGACTATGGATACTACCTTATTATGTTATCTTTACTGCCCAAAACATCAGTTTTGTCCATTTTTCTCTTGGTTTATTGGTGATGTTCTTATCAATTTCTAGAAACTGTATGCTTAGAAATGGACTCTTTGGGTAATGGGTTGCAAGTATTTTCTAGTTAATCTTTTCCTATTTTGCTTATGGTGTTTTTTGCCACGTACAATTTATTTTTATGCAATTAAATTTATGACATTTAAATATTTTTAATAGAGGTTTTTAAAAAAAGTTTTAGTTTCACAGCAAAATTGAGCTTGAGTGGATGTTAAAGAAATTTCCCATATATATCCTTCCCTCACACATGCATAACCTACACTGTTATCAACAGCTGATCCTTTTACTGTCTCCATAGTTTTGCCTTGTCCAGAACGTCACATAGTTGGAGTCATACAGTATGTAGCCTTTTTACATTGGCTGCTTTTGCATAGTAATATGCATTTAGTGTTCCTCCATGTCTTTCCATGGCTTGATAGCTTATTTCATTACTTGCTAAATAATATTCCATTGTTTGGATGTATCTGAGTTTATTCAGTCATCTACTGAAATTTTGGCAATTATGAAAAAAGCTAATCTAAACATTTGTGTCCAGGTATTTGTGTGGACATAAATTTCCAACTCCTTTGGGTAAGTACCAAGGAATGTGATTACTGGATCATATGATAGAAGTGTATTAGTTTGTAAGAAACCATCAACCTGTTTTGCAAAGTACCTATGCCATTTTGCTTTCCCACTAGCAAAGAATGAGAGTTCCTGTGATCTACATCCATGCCAGCATCACGTGTTTTCTGTGTTCTGGATTCTGTCCATTCTCATGAGTTTGTAGTAAATCTCATTATTTTAATTTACATTTCTCTGATGACATGATGTTAAACATATTTTATATTATTTTAACACCATTCATTGAATACACCATCATTTACTACTGATTTGAGTTGCTATATAGGTGTTTTATAGTACATTTCTGATTGTATTTTGGTCTATTTCTTGGATCTGTTCCACTGGTCTCCCTGTCTCTTGTTATACAGTATGGATTATCTTGATAATGCAAATAGCTTTTAGGAAACACTGCTTTCTGACAGCTACCCCCAGTGCTAGATTTTAAATTGAGTTTTCTTTTCCTACCCCTGTCTTGCCTATGTCAAAATTTGGACTACTTCTTTATGTTAATAAAGTATCAATTTATTTGCTTTTTGTATGTAATAGTAATATTTGATCCATTTTTATGTCTTAAATGTAACTGTAGAATCTTCTATTCATAAAAACGTTGAAGCCTGATACTTGTCCAGGTGTCTCCGGCATATTTTGTGAACTATACCAACTTTGTCGGAGCTTCCAAGAAGATTATTTGCGCAAATCTCCTTTCCTTGATTCATATCCATGAATTTCTACACTGTAATTACCAAAAAGTAACTCATTGTTATAATAGCTGAACTTAAATACTAATCATCTAGAAATTTCAAATAGGGTAGTTTAGAAGAGTTTTTAAAGAAGCAAAAGAATGCCTTTGATAAAATAAAATTGAATGAAAAAATACACAGGTTCTAGCTTTTGAACAGTATGTACTTTGTTTATCAAGCAAAGGAGCTGGCACAAGTGAGCAGTAAGGTCTCCTTCAGTTCATTTTGATTCTTGCATACATTTGCATTGCCATCATTTCACTTGGTTTGCAAGGTGAAGCTCTTCTTGGCAATTTCCAGAGCTTAGTAAACTTGGTGCTTTCTGCTGCTTCATTCTTAGCAACTGCTGTTCCATTTCCATTTGGTCCCTTTTGTGAATCATGCTTAGACAGCTAAAGTCATGAACTTAATTTGCTTTGCTAGTATACACATGTACAAAAGGTCCCTGCTTCCATTTTCTTTATATTATAAAAACGGAGACTGTAATATATTGTCGATGTTCCTGTACCTCAGCTTGGTTTTAGCTTTCTCTAAAATGAAGGAGATTAACTTTAGTAAAGAAATGGAATGGTCTTCTTTCTTCACTGCCCAGGGCAAAATGTTCCCCCCCACACCCTGGGTACAATAGGACACTTTTTTATTTTTAAAATCAGTCTGTTACTCCCAGCAACAGTTTCTTTACAAACTGTCTTATTTGTTAGAGCCCTAAATAGAACCCAGTTTTTGAAAGAGCCTGCCTTCCTTATATTTGAATGGCATTTTAATAAGCCTTTTGAACAGATTTATACTTACTTTACGTCAGCCTTCTTTTCAAAGCCAAGTCATACCAGTTTGTTTAGTCTTTCTAATCCTTTAATCATTTTATTCTCAGCATATTTCCAGATGCTTCACACCCCTTTGTAGATTCCAGAACTGGAATGAGTTTGTTAATAAAGTCTGATCAGGATTGAATGAAATGGAGGATAATTCCTTTGCTGTTTCTTAAGTATTATATTGTTTTTTATTGTTGTTTACAATTTTTGTTTTTTTCATTATTAATTTTTTTTTAAATTATACTTTAAATTCTGGGATACATGTGCAGAACGTGCAGGTTTGTTACATAGGTATACACCTGCCATGGTGGTTTGCTGCACCCATCAACCTGTCATCTACACTAGGTATTTCTCCTAATGCTATCCCTTCCCTAGAGCTCCACCCTTCAACTTATATATTTTGGAATTTGTTGTTTTATCCCCCAAGACTATGGTGTTTTCTCTCCAGTTAAGCATCAAAGAAAAAGAAAGGAAACTTCTGCATTACCTAAGATGGCTTGCTTCTAGTGAAGTGCATGCCCCTGTGTGTGTAGCTGTGCAGGGCTTAGTGCATAGAAGGGCTCTGTACTTGGCTTAATGCTCTCTGTTCCTGCTGTCTTGAAATTCTTAATAATTTTTTTACTAAGAAGCTCCTCATTTTTGTTTTGCACTGGGCCCTACAAATTAAATAGCTCACCCTACTTGTAGTTGATGACTAGAGAACATGATTGGTAAGTCACATTTCATGTCTAATTCACCCTCCATAATAATTACGGAAGCTAGACCCAGGGTAAGGACCGCTGGTTGTAAACTTCCCCAATTCTCAGCTTTTCCTCCTTTGTGCTCAAAGACCCATTCACTGCCTACCTGCTGCCTCTCTGTTCTCTTTTGGATTTGTCTTCTTTGTCTTCTCCTTATTATTCCTTCATTTATCTAACCTTGGGTGTTGATGTATGTTTGTTCATGGAATCCAAATTTTGTCATGCAGTAGTTGTTCTTTCCAGAGCGATCTTTCTTAGGGTCCATTCTGTCTTTTCAGTCTTTCTTCCTTTACCTCTTGTCCAAGGCATCCCTCCCTTACCTCTAAGCTCTTATCTTCTCTGCTTTCTCTGTTTAAAACAGCTGGCAATTTTGTGTAATATTAATAGTTAATTTCTTATCCAAATTTCAGATTTTCTCTGTCTCTATAAAGAAGCTGGGGTGACAATCACAAGAATTCTGTATGGGATAGAAATTTCTGTATCAGGATTATGAAGTACATGAAATTACAGAAATGTTTTAAAGTCTAACCATTAATGGCTGGGTGCAGTGGCTCATGCCTGTAATCCCAGCACTTTGGGAGACCAAGGCTGACAGATCATTTGAGGTTAGGGGTTTGAGACCGGTCTGGCCAACATGGTGAAACTCCCTCTGTACTAAAAATACAAAAATTAGCCAGGTGTGGTGGCAGGTGTCATAATCCCAGCTACTCAGGAGGCGGAGGCAGGAGAATCCGGGAGGTGAAGGTTGCAGTGTGCGGTGATTGTACCGCTGCGCTCCAGCCTGGATGACAGAGCTTGACTCCATCTCAAAGTCTAACCATTTGTACAGGTAGTAGGATATTTTAGCTTTTATTTTTCTTTACCGTAAAGTTAACTCTAGGTGTGAAATCTCATATATATGCAGCAGATATGACTTTTAGTCATCATCATTTTTCATATCCTGGCCAGTTGATCACCTTATTTTCTCTTTTTCCTGTAGCTTAACAAGCAACAGTTGCAGTTACTGAAAGAACGGTTCCAGGCCTTCCTCAATGGGGAAACCCAAATTGTAGCTGATGAAGCATTTTGCAACGCAGTTCGGAGTTATTATGAGGTAAGTTTGAAGAGTGTTGTTTTTGGCTTTCTGATGCATTTTAAAAGGTTTTTTATTATTTTTATGAGTTTCCCAATTTAAAGAAGCTCACTGGTCTGACAGGAAGGCTGTGAGTTTGCAACCTTTTTGAAAGCATTGTCAGTTCTATTTTGCAATTTAAAAGCTCTAATTCCACAGCCTGGTTTTGAGAGATAAATAAAATTGGAAATTAGTCACATCTTTTGAGGAGAAGTAAACTGTTTAGAAAAATCTCCTGGCAGTGATTGATACAGCTGAGTATAGCTATCTTTAGGTACACATGTCTAAATTATCATTTTAAATCTGGATTTCAATAGTAAATGGCTATCTTATGCAATTTTGTTCACCAAGCTTTACAATAATTAAAGCTGGTAACTAATTTCAAGAGGATAAATTGAATTCTCTTTTCTTCCTAGAGATAATACTACTAATACCATCCTGCCATTTCTTCTGATTTCAGCTTGTGACTCATAGAAATTCTCTATGGATTTCCTGTGAGCACCAGTTTTCACACATGGTCATTAACTGCTTTAGTGAGTTGCCCTACTGTTAGTTTAGAGAGTTCCTGTTTTGACTAAGCGTTTCAGAGTCATTTGAGGGAATGAATTCCTTTCATTGCGCAGGTACTCAACACATTTCAGCTGAAGAAGCATAATATACAAATATATATTAGACTAATAAGCAAGGGAAAATGTGAAGATACTATGGGTCTGAACTTACCTCAGGCAAGAATATTTTTGTATAAAAATATTAAGTAATTGTATGTACAGTTAACTGATTGGATTTGTAATAGTGATGGTATGCATTAGAAGTTAATTATTGCAACTCTAGAGAAGTTTACCTTACCCCAAGCCTCAGCCTATTGAATTAAATGTAAGAATGGAAGTTTAACTGACTAAATATGTTTATGACATAAATCTAAAAAAGAGAATGGGTATATCCAACTGGACATTAACTTAGAATATCTTAACAAGTATAGGAGCCCAGAATTTTAACACATATAGGACCTTACATTTCACCTTGTAAGAGTCAGAGGAAGATTTCATCATGTAAAATTCAGGATTTGAATCTTACAGTATTAACTGTAAATTTCTACATTTGCCTCATGTACTTAAACTAAAGAAAAACCAAAAGTCTCTATTTGGGATTAAGGAAAAGTAGCTCAGGGAAGTAATTTGTATAAAAAGATATAAGGTTTTCTTGTGAAACAGCAGGCTCATATTTGGTTTTGATAAATGCAATGCTGCAATCAAAGATAATGTTAGGGAAACTGAAATTGGGTGAGCAGGAGGGATGCGGGAATTTTTTGTACTATCATTGTAACTTTTGTGTAAACCTAAAAGTATTTCAAAATAAGTGAGTTTTTAAAAGTAAGCATAATATGATGTGGCCACAGGTTAGAAAAACGCACACATTTAAACAGAATACAGATTGAAAAAAAAAAAAGACACGCAAGCTGTGCTAATAAAATTATTGTATTTCCAGTGAAGGAGAGAGTATCCCCATTGTGTTCTACGTGAGGATTATGTTTTCTTCTGGGTATGTTATGTAAATTAAAACTGTAGACAAATTTAGGGTGACCAGGCTTGAAACATACCATGTGTAAGCTGAAGGAGCTGGGGGTGTTTGGCCTGTAGACAGATTGGGTTTGTGGTGTTGTATGCAATCCCAAGAGTAAAACTAGGACTTAATTGGAACTGAAGTTGGGAAGAGTTCAACCTAATATATCTAGAGTTTGGTTGCACTGCTCCAAAATAGAATGGACTGGTGAGTATTTCGTCACAGCTTGATTCTGATGGTCCTTCACAGTCACTTGGGAAACGTACTGCAGTATGTTTTCAGTTCTCTGAAAAGAAATTTTATTTATTTTATTTTAATTTTTGATATAATTTATTTTTGAGACAAGGTCTTATTCTGTCACCCTGACTAGAGTGCAGTGATGTGATTATAGCTTACTGTAGCCTAGAAATCCTTGACTCAAGTCACGGACTCTGATTTTATAGTGAAAAATTTTGCACTAGGTTTCCAGTCAGGTCCATCTATGCAAATAAAGGATTCAAACTTGCTTAGTTCCGATTGGTCAACACAACCAATTTCTGATTGGTTGGATACAACTGGGCCCTGATTGGACAGCGTAGGTGAGCTCTGATTAGTGTGTTCAGGTGAGTTCTTCTTAAAGTCCTAAGTTAAACAGAGGTGTGAATTTTCAGGGAACTCAGAAGAACATGAATGACTTCTAGTCAGCAGATGGCCACTTGACTCAATTTGAGTGTAAACTGAGTTAGCCACGGGATCCATCTTGAAGAACTGGCTCTTTTGGGATCACATCCATTCACAGCTTTGATAATTTTGATTCACACTGTCATTTGAGAACCGTATTGATCTAGATCTTATGACTTCTAGAATATATGTTCCATGAAAGAGCCATTTCTGTTTACCATTGCATCCGCAGTTTAGCACACAAATATATTCAATGAATATTTGTTGAGTGAGTGAATGGGTATTGCAGCAGTTGTTGCTCTATCTAGAAACTGTATATTTTGGTCTTGTTTTATTCTTATTTTCTCCATAATTCTCTTTTTCTAAAAGTTTCACTTTTGTATTATAATAAAATTTCTTTTGAATATGATTGTTCTTAATTTCATGGTTTTGTGTTTCCTTGAAGATGCTAGATATATATGAAGCATGGTTAGGCTTTCATGTTCTTTCTAAGCTAGTTATTCTATGATTCTGTGATCTGTTGTGGCTTCTTACATCATTTGAAATCTGTTTTCAGGGATGTTATATATATTGTTTGTTGTATGCATCTGTTTTCAACTATTAATAATTTTTAAGTGGTGATTTGCTCTCTTATGTTTACTATCCTTTAGTTGTGATAGCCATTTCTGACTATATGTAATATATATTATACATAACACATGATATATAATGTGTATTGTATAATATATATATGAACAATCCTAATAAATATGTGTTACCAATTAAATTGGAAAGATATCTTCATACTCTTAGTATATACGTTTTCCCAAAATCTGTTTGTTATTATTTTTCTCTCTCAGCTTTGTGATTGCTACTTCTTGAATGATTTTTATGAATAGCCTTTTCCATTTTGATTGTAGGTCTGTATATTCTATAGACAATTGAGAGTCATCTGCCTTCTATTCTTTTTACCTTTTTTTTTTTTTTTTTTTT